GCATTTATATTATAATAAAAAATTTCGTGGATAAATTATTTTAAAGTTTTATCAAATTTTGTCAATTTATCACAACACTGGAGAAAATGTGTATCTAACAACGTAAGCGGTAAGATGAAATTTTTGGAAATTAATAATTTATAGCACACTGAAGCCATACAGAAACGCAACACGAACGCCAAAATGCCTGATCGAGTTTGTAGTGCGCATAATTTTATTTTTATTTTTAGCCATCTGTTATTAATTTTGTTTTTATTCATTTTTGTTTAAATATAATTTTTAACAATTGATTAATCATTATTTTTGTTCACCCACTCATTCGTTTATTCAATTATTTATTTATTTAATTGAAATTTTTAATTCAATACATACCTCAATAATTTCAAGATCGTTGTCGTACACCATTCTGGCTTTGTATTCCTGGGGAGCTGGAAGTTGATTTTATAAAAAGAATATTTAAAAACGGAAGGAAGGAACAATTTTAAAGGATCGGCAAACACTTCATCACAATGACGTCACGATGTTTCCACGATTTCTCGTTTACACAATCTACCTACCACATTGAACAAATTTCTTATATACAACAAACTGCACACACATCTGAACTTGCACCCAGCACGCACAAACAAGCAGACAATATATTTCATTAAAAATTAACGTTTATTTAGAAAACTTATGAAGGCATTTTATTTAAAAGGAGCACCAACTCCATTGAAGTGGGCACTGCAGACTGGGGAAAAAACGTTTAATGACCAAGTTGAGTGCCATGTCGCATCTCTCATGAACCTGGCAGTCGTCAAATAACTTCCTCTTTCTCAACCAAACTGTTATGCAATTCTTCAGTCGGCTGACGCTTTGAACTGCGAACATGTAATTAAAAAATTTTCAATTTTTTGTTTTTATGAGATGCACCCTACACGTAATTCTCTCAACGTAAATATGATTCATGGCATAAATTAACATTTACCATCTCCAAAAAAAGTTGAGACAAAATCATATACTCCATTTCTTCTGAGAACGTATGGCGTCCAGGTCATTCTCATCGTCTCCTTCTCATCGCCTGTCACGTCGTCACAAAAAGGATATTAAAACAAATTTAAAATTCATTTTTGATCTTCAAATTCATAACAGCCAACAACTTAATTCATAATAATCACAGTTATCAGTAGATGGTGATAATGAAAATGGCAATAAACTTTCGAGTTGATGTCACCCTGAGTCTGCCGTGGAGGAGTGGACCTACCATCAACCAACCTACCTGCCACCAACCAACGTACATACTTACTTACCACTCACCAACCAACCTACCTACCACCCACCAACCAACCTACCTACCACCTACCAACCAATCTACCTACCTACCACCCACCAACCAACCTACCACCGACCGACCAACCTTCACATTTGGTTAGCAATCCTTTCTTTTCATCTGCGGAAACAACTGCTATGAAACAAATTGTAACAATAAGAATCTTCATTTCAGCGTACGTTGTGGCCGTCAGCTTGGTTTTCAAATCAATTTCCGATTAAAAAATTGGTTCAATGTTATAAAAAGAACACATTTAGCAAACAATAATTTCATCAATGAATTTACGAACGCAATTATATAGCTTGATAAATGATCGATATCTAACTAATGCTTATGTAAACAAAATTACATGTTGACTCAACATAATTAAAGTACATGGTGGTACTCAGCTGAAGAGGTTTTAATCGTGCAATTCATTTCATGTTGCATGCGGTTATGATCTCTTTGCGGGTTTACGTTGTAGTCATTTATACAGATCAACTTTTAACTTTTTTGGTGGTTTTTACTTTCTTCTGAGTCATCTGTTCATCTATTGGTACTGTAGTTTATTCTACATTAACTACACAATATGTCTGGATTTACGATGAAACGATGCAACCACACACTCGTTCACCCACCCAAACATGTCACAGGCATACTGACGTGCATACACATACGCATTATTATTATTAGTATTATATACGCATTTTAAATTGTTATCTCAAAAGACGTAAATATAACTTTGCAAGCCGCTGCGATGGAAAGACTGCCAGGTAATAAAGTTCAATTTAAAGCAAACTGCAATGATGATACGTCTCTTGTATACCTGAGTTTGTCACAGAGATATATTGGACAAGGACATAATCCGTTCAAAATATTTAAATTTAATTCTTTTTTAACGTATAAGCCTTCCAGGCAAATAGTACGTAAATCAGGCGAGTAGATTTCCTGAAACAACATAATAACATTGAAGTTTTTTTTATGAAGCAATGAATGATGCAACGCAGAGTAAGAAAACCAGACGCAACAAACGATGACAGCCTTTTTGTTTCTAGTTAATGAGTACGGAACGAATTCTGGTTCAAGTGAATCGTCTGTCAAGTCTCTCAACCTCTATGTGTTTCCTTTAAAATACAGCCAAGTCATGACCACTATTTTCATAAAAATCAATATACAACCTTATTTTCTTCTCCGTACACTCTAATTAAGCGAATAAATGCCAAAATTTTATGATAGAAAACTGGAACAATTTACTAAAATTTACAAGGAACATGTTTCTGCTTATTGGATTGAAAAAAATATACTGTTTCAATATTAATTAAATGGCAATAAGTTATTTTGAAAATGTGGGGAAAACGTATTTGATAACTTAAAATTACAAAAGAATTTTCAGGTGTTCGTGAAAGCACAATTGGTACGAAAAACACCCCCACCTTATCTTGCTGGGACAGAAAGCTGGAGTGGTTTATTATTATTATTATTATTATTATTATTATTATTACAAAATTTATCTGGCACAAATTCAAAGTTTCTCAAAAGTGCTATCTAAATAAACATTATGAAACAGAAATTGATTGAAAAAAATAAACAAAAAATAATATCAATTCGAAAATATTTTTTCATTCATTTCATTTCAAAAAGTTTTAAAATTCTTTTTAAAATTATCAATGTTCAGTCCAAGCAACCTCAGTAATTTCGGCAAAGCATTCCACAGTCAAAGAGGGACCTGATTAGCGATGTTTCTGTTTGATATCATCTCAGGTTTTTAAAATATTAATTCGATGAAGGCATTAGAACTTAAAATAGATTTTTTTTATCAGTTTCAGTCAATAAATCAATTATCACTTCATTTTTGGATTTGGTATAAAGGATGACGAAATGTAATATAAAATGGCGGAGAGGTTCAAAACTTTGCATCAAGGAAATAAAGGCACCAAAATAATACAAATGCAAAGTAAAAAGTCACTTGACATAACTTAAAAAATTAGACATAATTGAAGAAATTGTATTATTTTCAACATAAATAGACCATAATATAACAAAAAAATTTATTCAGAAGAAAAAACTGTTTGTTAATAAAATAAATTTTTTTTCTGTCCTAAATTATCTCGTATAATCCCATAAATAAGGTGCATCCGTGTTGGCTTGCAGTGCGGAGTTTTCTGCTAATATTGCTCCATCGCTATTATTCCTGAATAATTAATACATGCAGATGGTTACATAGTTTACTTCTTAAATTAAAACATTATAAAACCACCAAAACGAAGAGTGATGCTATCTTAAATCGGAGCGAATGATACATTTACTTTCCACAACAAGCTTTCCAGCAGACATACTATACTGGATGTGTATTTAATTATGGTGAAGTGAACTACTACCAGCAAGCAACACGAACCTTCCATGCAGAAAAGATTTTTGTTGCGGCCAGCATCCGATACATTAATTTGCAATCTGAACTCCCCCTGGTATGTAATTACATATTAGTGTTACTATTAGTTGTAGCAGTAGTCATTGTGCTTTTTACGTAGATAAAAAACTATTAATATATAAAAGTTATTAAATTAACTTATATATATATTTATATATTATAATTATTATATTATATATATATATATTATTAAATATGTATATATAGATAAGGCCAACGCCAAATGGATTAAAAAATGGAAAAAATACAATAAATTAATTATAACAAACACAGATGTTTTGAGTCATTCTTGATCATGAAATGAACTTGAAAATGCAAAAACATAAAAAATCAATAAGAATAATAAAAATAATATTACTATAATAATAATAACTAATAACAATAACATAATAATAAGTGATGATTTTGGTGGAGAGTGTTTTTATTAACCAGGCAATAGCTGTCTGGCAGCGGTCAAATTAACGAGTCAACATGTTTGTTTGTGTGATCATTGAAAAAGTTAGTAACAGTTGGTATTTGGCTAGACGATCGTGAAGTTGCATGAAACAATTTTTTCTTTTAATTATTCTTTAAAAAGTCAGAATCTGACAGAGGCAGACAAGGTTTCAGCTTCAACATCGTATGATAACCAGAGTAGCCGATATTTATTTAGATTTTGATAATTTTTTTTATTTAGCAGGATAGTGTCGTATGAAATGTAATGAAAATTAATTTAATAATTGATTAATTTAAAATTTAATTAATTAATTAATTAATTTACCTGCAATACTGGATAATCGTTGTAGAAAAACTTTGTTACATAGTTATGTCTTGGTCCTAGAAATACATTTGCACTTCGGTAAACACACTAATCAGCAAATCTCAAACAAAATAGTGACAACTTTAAGTATTATTATGCATTTCTAAATAATTTTTTAAGTCTAACAATATTTTAGAAATTAACATTTTTAAAATATTTTAGTTAGAGAAGAGTAATCGTGCTGGGCAACACATGATGAAGTGAAAAAGTATAATAATATGAAAACTCCATTATGAAATTATAATAAAAAAATATACAAACTCCAATTTAGCGGGCACTTGAGACCAGGGAAGAAAAGTTTCAAGAAGTTGCGAGTTGATTCACATCTTGTGTGCACTTGGCAGTCGTCAAACAATGCTCTCTTGCCTTTAGTTAGCCAGACTCTGATGCAACTTTTCAGTCTCTGTACACTTTGCTCTGAAATTTATTTATTGCGCTAGCAATTCTTACTTACAATTTATCAACTCGTAAATTTTTAATTTAAGTGTATTCTTTCTCTATCAATAATATTTCAGTTCCTTCAGCACACATGCATTCGCATAACCTAAACAAGCACTACACACTAATATCACACGTATACAACACACAGCAGAACATTGAAACACACAACACAACATATAACATATTTACATGCAGTGGTGGGTCTAGGTGTGGCCGTATTTGCATTAAAAGTCAGTAAAACTCAGTTTATGCAAAAAAGCCTAATTTTTGTCACACAACCACAATTCTTGCCCCCCGTCAAAATTTGAAAGAAATTCAAAATTTTGGCCTCCTTCAAAGTTGTCTAGATTCGACGAAATGGTGCGATGGTTAATGGACGGCTTTGTTGTTGCGGTGACTGGGTTTAAACGATGCAATGTCTGCATCATTTACTGCGTGTGTGTTTGTGTTTGTTTGTGTGTGCAAGAAAATAATAATAATAATAAATACACACAACGCCATATAAACTAGTCTATAAACAGACACAGTCTTTCAATTGCGGTTGATTTGGCACGTAACGCAATGATTGTGAAAATAATATAATATCAAGACAAGGTTCTTTCACTGCTTTAAAAATTTTATTTATGAATAAAGTAAATTTTCAAAATGACTCCAACCCGGTCCGTAGTAAGTTGATACGAAATCGTACATTCCAAACTGCTTGAAAACGTAAGGGCTCCACGTCATCCGCATCGTCTCCACTTTATCACCTGCAGTTCAATTTTCCAATACATTGCTTTCTCAAAGTTAATTCATTCAATGCCGCAAAATTTTGTGACAATTTTTCTAAATATTTAACTTAATTGAACTGCATTTTGATTGCAATTACAGTACGGCTCAGTGAATTTTAGAAGAATTTCTCTATAATTATTTTTATTTAACTCAGCATTTAGTTTTTGAAAAACTGTTCAGAAATCTGCTTTTCAATGCTTAAAATTAATTTTAAAGGTTCAGGTAAAATATCAAAAATGAAGTATGGATAATGTTCTGTTCTGAAGTTTTAAAGAATACAGGAAAAATTTTAAGTTGTTAGGACGACAGGAAATAGAATGATCGAGAAGAGCAGTTAAAAGCGGCGTGCAAGAATGAAACGAAGTCATTAGCACAAAATGTTGATGGCGATGAGAATGTAAGTTAGTAATGCTAATTATCAAATAAATAATGCTATTTATCTGATAAGTTCATGCTGGTGTTAAAGTTTCTGTTTAAGAGTTCACGTACAAATAACGTCGGTCAAAGCACCTGCTGGTATTGGAGACCCATCCAAACGTATTGATACACAACATTGAACATACCACTACACTTGGACAGCATTCCTCTTTTCACTCTGTGAGCAGTGACCATAAAACAGAAAAAAATGATGGAAATGATTTTTAAAGAAATCAGCATTTTGATTTTTTTCATGTAAAAAATAAGAATCGGCTACGTAAAACACTTCGATTATATTTCAAGCTCCCAATTACAAAATTAATTAAATACATTTTAAATTTTAATTTATACGCGAGAAAGTCACGTCATCATCTTAATAATTAATATTCAAGATGATGAAATAATTACTGATTCAATTACTGCTTGAAATGCTTAGTGCTGAAATGGAGTGGTTCAACATTTTGTATAATTATATTTTATAGGTGAACATATGAATACATATAAAAAATGTAGATACAAAGTTGAAGTGCATATAGGCGTTTTATGTTTTTTATTTAATTTTTGAGTTCAGAATTAACATCTTGATATATAGATTTAATTTGCATGTTTAAAATATTGCAACAGTCCATGATTAAATTTAAAAAAACGTTTTACTCCAACAAAAAGGAAATAACGTCTAGCGTTAAAATTTAAAATGCAATCTTACAAAATTTTTAGTTTAAAGTTTCAACCATTCTGAATTCTACGTTTTACGAAAATGCAAATTTTCAAGTCACAAACAATATTAGAAAACTTGGTTATTAGTGCTCTATTATGTTATCAAAAAATATAAGCTCTAGAATCACATCAGGTATTCATACAAACGACACTTCATTCATAAAATGTGAAAGTAAATTTCCATGAAATTTGGTTTCACGCAGTAAAAATCAAACATTAATTGGTGGCTACTTGTTAATAATTAGTTTAAAAATTAAAATTTGAAACAGCAATTTGTCTTTACATAAAAACGCAATTATTTCCGTTTGCGGTTTCACATTTTTCAGTAAAAATTCACATTGCCATTAATGACAGTTGGAATTGATGGTTTCTTTCTTCCACATTCGGCAACCAATTTATTTCACCAATACAATTTTCTGGCGTCAACATATTCATTCTCAACTTAAAAAGTCTCCCAAACACATTCACTGTTTAGGCGACAATTATTTTGTTAAACAGTGTTCGCATTTGATCACAAAAAATAATAGATAATTTAAAATCAAGAAGAATATTTGAAATTTGCGCTTTAATGTAGAAAAAGTCTCAATCTAAATTTTCTCCCAAATATATTAATTGAACCTAAATGCCTCCCCACCCCAGTTTATGATCGTCTTGTTCTCACTTCTTCTTAACTCGTGTTAAACACTCTTTTGCTAAATCTGCGTTTGCTATTTCTGGCCCTTTTCCCTGGAACTCTCTACCTCCTTTTCTGACTACTTTTCCATCATTTACAAAGTTCAGAGCGGATTTCAAGACCCATCTGTATGCAAAAATCACAGGGGAGAGCTGTTGAACATCGCGGGAATAGCGCTTTACAAACTAATTGAATGATTGGTTGATAAAACGTTTCCATTCAGTCCTTTGCATCAAGACACTCTTCTGACTAACATTATAAAATGTTAAATATTTTTTTCAATCAACCACAAATTCATTAAAATAATTCCACAAATTAAAAACCTTTCCTTACAGATACATTTCTACATATACGAGTTCTTTCTTAAACTAAGTATAGAAGAGCCTTTCCAACAGCTGCATTTCAAAAAATTCACTTCTTCGAACAATTCTTTTCCCTCAACTAATTAAATTTTATTGTTTTTTGTATTTCTTTGCCGACTGGCCAATAAAAAGTTTTTGGAAGTTGTTCCAGTGGAGTGATTTAGTCAAAAATTTTCCGAGGCGAGGTTATAGTTGTAAATCTTTCAGTGCTCACTAAATTTCCGAATTTCTTTAACTTTTCATCTAACATTCAACATCGTGTTTTACAAAAATTTTTACCACACAAACACACGCACACACACACGCAGTTCCACACGGTCGGACCTGCAACAGAGATACTCCGTGCACCAATCTGCAAGTGTGAAACCGGTATTGTCAACAAATTCATATCATCTGACCGTTTTTGAAAAGTTTTTACGAGATATTTTGGTGACATCCCATTCAGTGATTTAAACAAAAGTACAGCGATTTTGAAGGTTACTATTGTCAACCAGTGTAGTTCCTCAAGGATAGGCGTCACGTGATCAAACTTCATCCTGCCAGTTACCAATTTTGCAGCCCTGTTCTGAATCGACTGAAGAAGAGCTATTGACCTTCTTGGAAGTTTATAAAACAGACTGTTGCAGTAGTCAATTCGCGATGTTATAAAAGCATGAATCAGCTATATATATATATATATATATATATATATATATATATATATATATATTACAATATTCTATAAATTCTACTGAATGTTTGGCGTTAATATGTTTGTAGTTCGTTTTTTCGATTTTTCTCACTAAAGTTTTTTGGTGAACATTTAGTTTATTAAAATTCAAAATAAACTTATTTTTCGAATTCATGCTGCAAATAAGGCCATATTTCGAATCATATATATATATATATATATATATATATATATATATATATATATATATATTACGTATAATACGTAATTAAAAATATTAATCTTGACAAATTTTTATTATTAATGTAAAAAGTATTTGTCAGACTTGTTCCAAATCATGATTCAAACATTTCTTAGAAGTTTAGTCTATTATTTTTCTTTAATTTAATGCCAATGATTTAAGACGGCTACTGAGAAAGTTATGAAAAAAAGCATATCTATTTTATTGCTTGTAAGCTAATTATTGTAATAATTAATAAAGTTAACATAATGTTATTTGGATAATGCGAAATGAAAAATCATAGTTCTCTTCTTGAATATGCAAGTAATAATGCAAAACAAATTTTAAAATATGCTATCAATAGATAAGTTTAAAATACTAACAATTCAAACAAAATATTTCAAAATGTAGGAATGATTACAAAAAGTACGAAAAATTTTCACCAAGATGTTTTAAAAAATTTTCAAAAATTTATTGCAAGCCACTGAAATCGGATCAACACGCTAAACGTCTTCAACTGATACATCACCTGAAAAAAAATTAGACCACGTAGTTTTGATAACCATTTTGCATTTCTAATAATAAATCTAATAAATAAATAAATAGATAAATGAATGGATAAATAAATGAATGAATGAATGATAGAAAAACGAGCAAAAAAAACATATAAAAAGCCTACAAACCTTCTATGCAGAAAAATGGCGTCCTACCCTTGGCGTTGCTCATTTCAATTCGTACTATGTAATCTCCCTACAATTTTCAATGTCATTTTTTGTAGCTATTTATATTATATTATATTAAATATATATATATATATATATATATATATATATATATATATATATATATATATATTTGATTAAGACTGTCTGAAAGGCAATTATTGATGAAAATCACAACATGTTTCGCGTCAGTTAGCTTCCTGTTTAATTTTTCGACTTTTCTAACGGTGGATCGTAAATCATTGTCAAGTTTCTTGAGTTCAAAGCCAAATTTTTTTAAGCTATTCCTAAATTTTGTCTCTGCAATGTATATATATATATATATGAGAATTGCCCATATATATTTATACATTTATATATATATATATATATATATATTGTTTATTATTATTATTTATTTCAAATATATATATATTATATATATATATATATATATATATATATATATATATATATATATATATATATATACATACAGGCCTATGCTCGACC